TATTTTATTATATATGTTTAATATATTTATTAAATGTTTTAACTTTTTAGCAGCCTGGGGAACTATCTGACAGCTCAGACAGTCCCCCTGCTGGCAGCTCCTAGACTCCTATTGCAGCGATGTGATCATGGTGATCACATGGCCCTGGAGGGCTGGGGTGGCCGGAGCTGCTGCAGAGGGACTGCTGGGGTCTCCAGCAGTCCTCCCTCCCCCCGACCGTGATTGCCGCAGATCGCCAGTCTAGGTAAGTCCAGGGCTCCTATTTGGCGCGTTCGTAATTGGTACGTCCGTGGTCCTAAATGAGCGTACGTAGTGCGTCCACGGTCATTAAGGGGATATACATAGGTATATATGTATAATTTCATTCTAAGTCTATTTTGAGATATATATATATTTGTATTAATATCACAATACTGTTAGAATAAAATTACATATATATAATTTTTTAAAATTATTTTTAGTTTATTTTTAATTATTTCTTATATATATATATATATATATATATATATATACACACACACAATATAGTTATTATATTTATATATATATATATATATATATATATATATACATATACATATATATATATATATATATATACACACACGTATAATTTTACGTTAAGTGTTTTTTTATATTAATATAGGTATATATTAATACAAAATATACACTTAGTATGACGTTATATATAAGATATGTATATATATATATATATATATATATATATATACATATATAGATATAATATATGTGTATATATATCTCATATATACATATATATTTATTTATTTTAAATTTATTAACTATATTACTATTTTTTTACTTTTACCAAACTTTTTTTTTTTTTCACCAGCAGGGGGACTGCCTGTCAGTTCAGGCAGTCCCCCTGCTGGCAGCACTGTGGACACCTATGGTGGCCATGTGATCTCTCTTTTAGAGCGGTCACATGGTCCCTGGGGGCCCTAAATTGGAGACTATCTGGGCTGAGCTCAGAACTCAGGGCTATGTTTAATAGTGAAAGTAAGAGCATTTCCACACACACAATGCAAAGGGAACTTAAGGGATTGGGATTTAACAGTGGTGTAGCCTTAAGAAAACAACTAATCAGAAAAAAAGGCTTCAATTTGATAGGGTGCAAAAAAATTGGACTCTGGAGCAATGGAAGAAGGGCATATGGTCTGATGAGTCCAGATTTACCCTGTTCCAGAGTTAGGAAAGGAATAAGGTGATTGCGCACACAGTAGATGATATTTTCGTATTAAGTAGATAATCCCTAGATTCTGTAAATATAAAATCCATCATAGGGTAATATATCTTAACACATATACTAGTAAAAATACTTGGAAAAACCCACAATATTTAGATCCTTTCTGAGTTGGCTCTAAACTATAGTAGCGTGTACATCAATCAGATGTGGATATAAGGATTCAGAAAGTATCAAAAGTCTTCTGTGTTGGAAATCAGGAACCAGATCACCAAAGTAAATAAAAGTAAGTATATTTATTTAAACATTTATAAAATTAAGTAGAATAAAGGCACAACGCGATTCTACCCAGTGCAATGGGTCTTCCTCAGGTGCATATCTTGTAGCATGTACAATAACGTTCTTATATATGGCATCAATGTCTAATACCAATAAATCACAAACATTAACAGCTGTGTGTTGATATTCCATCCCATTCACCATATAAGGAGTGTTTCCGGCTGTAATTTTGGTGTTTTCGCCTCTACCAAGATGTCCGCCGTGTGGTTACTTCCTATGGAGGTACCGCTGACCTTCCCAAGATGGCTGCGTGTTCATACCGTCTCGCGGCTAATCGCTGGATATTACCACTTCCGGTTTCGTCCGGCTCCTGTTCCAGAGTCATGGGGGCGCATCAGGGTAAGAAGAGAGGCAGATGAAGTGATGCACCCATCATGCCTAGTGCCTACTGTTCAAGCCTGTGGGGGCAGTGCTATGATCTGGGGTTGCTGCTTGGTCAAGTCTAGGTTCAGCAACATTATGTTCCCAAAGAATGAGGTCAGCTGACTATCTGAATATACTGAATGATCAGGTTATTCCATTAATGGATTTTTTTCTTCCCTGATGGTATGGGAATATTCCAAGATGACAATTCCAGGATTCATCGGGCTCAAATTGTGAATGAAAGATTCAGGGAGCATGAGACATAATTTTTACAATTGGATTGGCCACCACAGAGTCCAGACCTTAACCGCATTGAGAATCTTTGGGATGTGCTGGTGAAGGCTTTGCGTAGTGGTCCGACTCTCCCATCATCAATACAAGATCTTGGTGAAAAATTAATGCAACACTGGACGGAAATAAATCATGTGACATTGCAGAAGCTTATCTAAATAATGCCACAGCAAATGCATGCCATAATCAGCTAAAGGTGGTCCAACAAAATATTGAGTGTGTGCCTTTTTTTTTGTCCAGGCAGTGTATATTTCAACTAATATGATGACCAGGGGCGGGCTGGGCCGGGGGGAAGGGAGGCAATTGCCACCCAGGTCGCCCTAAATTCTTTTAAGACCGGCCGCTGCAGGGCCGGCCCTTTAAATGCTGCATGCGCCTGAGCGCTCTGTTAAGAGCCTCAGGCGGCTGCAGTTGCTTCTCCCCTCCCCTCTCCTGTAGCGTGGCCGAGCTCCTCTCCGGTCAGCGCGTTCCCGGCCGGAGTGATAGGAAGGTGCACACTGAGTGTGCACTTCCTGTCAGTCCGGCCGGGTACAGGAAACAGAAACTCCTGTCCACACTGAGTGTGCACCTTCCTATCACTCCGTCCGGGCCCTATAGGGAAGGGGAGGTGAGAGGAGGGGTAAGAGGAAGGAGGCGAGGGGGGGAAGAAGAGGGGGACGGGGGAGTAAGAAGAGGGAGGTGAGGGAGGAGTAAGAAGAGGGGGGGAAAAAGAAGAAGAAGAGGGGGGTAAGAGAAGATGAAGAGGGGGATAAGAAGAAGAGTGGGGAAAGAAGAAGGGGGGTAAGAAGAAGAGGGGAGAAGAAGGGGGGTAAGAAGAAGAAGGGGGAAGAAAGAGGGGGGAGTAAGAAGAAGAAGAGGGGCAGTAAGAAGAAGGGGAGTAAGAAGAAGAAGAGGGCAAGAGAAGAAGGGGAGCAATAAGAAGAAGGGGAGTAAGAAAGCAAAGGTTAAGAAGAAGGGGAGAGTAAGAAGAAGAAGGTGGATAAGAAGAACAGGTGGGGGAGTAAGAAGAAAAAGGAGGGAAGTAAGAAGAACACAGGGAGGAGGGGGGTAAGAAGAACACAGGGGGGTGAAGAGAATACATGGAGGGGGGAGTGAGAAGAACACAGGGAGGGAGGGTGGGTGAGTGTGAGAAGAGACCGCTAGGGGAGGGTGGGGGAGAAGAGAGACCACTAAGGGGCAGGGGAGAGATCTAAGGGACAGCTCTATAAGACAGGGGGCAAGACAGGGAGCTCTTTCACACTACGCACACACACACACACACAATGCCTCCCTATACATATACAGAAACACAACATGCTTCCCTTACACACAGAGAAACACACAATGCATCCATGGGTGGTGGAACATATAAGTGGACTTATGAGTGGGCCTTATGGGATACTCAATCAGGCCCTGGGGCCCAGACCTTGAGCTGTGTAAGGGGCCCCAAAAAAATGGAGCTGCTTCCAATTCTCCCAGAACATTAAATTTTGTGATCACAGTTGCAAACAGGAACGGTGGGGGACGGTGTATTAAATTGGGGGAGGAAGTGGGCACTGTATTAATTTGGAGAGGGAGGGGGGCAGTGGATTAAATTGGGGGAGGAAGGGGGCAGTGTATCAAATTAGAGTGGTGGGAGTGGGCACTGTATTAATTTTCGGGGGGGAGAGGGTGCCAGTGTATTCAATTTGGGAGGGGAGCAAGTGTATTAATTTGAGTGAGGGATCAGTGTATTTATTTTGAGAGGGAGGGGACCAGTGTATTAAATTGGGGGAGGCAGTGGGGGTGTGAATTAAAGTGGTGTGGGCAGTGTGTTAAAGGAACACTATAGAGTCAGGAACACAAACATGTATTCCTGACCATATAGTGAAAACCCACCATTTGGGTGGCTTGCCCTCCCCTCAGCCGAGTCAGAATGGGTTAAAACTAAAAATTTCCAGCCCCCTTGGTGACATCAAAATTGCTATTAGCCAATCCAGATTGGCTAAAATTGACAAGGGGGCGGGGCCAAACATTGTTTTGGCCAGTCAGCACCTCCTCATAGAGATGCATTGAATCAATGCATCTCTATGAGGAAAATTCAGCGTCCCCGTGCAGAGCATGGGGACGCTGAATGACAGGGCTGCTTACTGTGCAGCCCTGATTCAGGAAGCCCCTCCAGTGGTCTCCAGAGGTGTTCCTAGGGACAATGTAAACATTGTCTTTTCTCTGAAAAAGCAGTGTTTGCTCAAAATGCCTGAAGAGAGCAGTGTATTAGAGAGCAGTGTATCACAGTGAGAAGTGCGGAAGCGCCTCTAGAGGCTTAAATGAGACAGCCACTAGAGACTGGATTAACTCTATTATAAACATAGCAGTTTCTTTGAAACTGCTATGTAAATAGAAAAAAAGGGTTAAACCTAGCTGGACCTGGCACCCAGACCACTTCATTAAGCTGAAGTGGTCTGGATGCCTATAGTGGTCCTTTAATGCTCTCAGCCAAGTGAAGAACACTCATAGTACTGTGATTTTCACAGTGAGAATCGCGGAAGCGCCTCTAGCGGCTGTCAGTGAGACAGCCACTAGAGGCTGGATTAACCCTCAGTGAAACTTCTCTGAAACTGCTATGTTTTTAGCTGCAGGGTTAAAACTAGAGGGACCTGGCACCCAGACCACTTCAATGAGCTGAAGTAGTCTGGGTGCCTATAGTGGTCCTTTAATATGTCAAGGTAGTTGGACTGAAACATTGGTTACATGCAAATGCAGTCTCCTTAAAATAAATTCACTTTTTTGTTTACTTTGAAGCCCTGCAAGCGTGAGGACGTCAGTTAGGTGACTTTTTTATACTGTACTTTTAAAAATAAACCTATGTTTCTATGAAAACTAAAGTTTAGGGGTTTTTTTTAGGCCCACTTAAACTTTATTTGACAAAAGGTGATGTGTGTTACAAACAGGCGCTTAAGAAATATTTTAAAATGTAAGATAATTACAGCAGCTACAACACTTATAAGTGGATCTTTCCAGTTAACCACTAGTTCAATATGTTAAAAGTAGGGAGCTTAGATGGAAGGTAAACAAGAATACCAACCACCTAAATATCCCAAAAGTGGAGCGCTAGAAATAATAGTGTATACTTACCCCTACTGTTAGGGGTATTTCGTAATACAACTCAGCACATATATAAAAAAACTAAAATGGGGAGGGAAAAGAGAGAAATAGTCCAATGGTGAAATATGTTTGGTTAGGAATCTGGTTAATGAAAACAGTGATATCATCAACTCACAAATGTAGAGCCAAAGAATAGACTGGCTCAAGTCGTTCTTGCTCTGGTATCTTTTAGGAGACACCCCCCTTCTTTCAGGTTCCTTCTTTGTTTCTTAGCAGAAAAACATATAAGAGACAGGAAAAATTCCTTTCTAGTGTAGTATTTTACCAATATAGCTCAATATTCATATATATATAAATACCAGTGCTCACCTTATTCAGAGCCAATAAGGTAAACCTGGCTCTGGTTAGTATTACCTTAACCCACTCAGGGGGGTTGACCTTCTTTAAGATATAGGCAGCAGCGGACACTGGACTAAAATTGTAATCATAAAATGATTCATTTATTACTTAAAAAATATATATATAAAAGCTGTATAAAAATACATAAACAACAAAATGATAAAATAATTCAAAGTCCTGTCCTTGAATAAGGTCCTCAAGACGCGTTTTGCCGCAAATTGACTTTTTCAATCAAAGTAATCCTTTCTCTGCTGCCATTCTTCTTTTAAATCTTAATCTCCTTCCTGATTCGTCCCCTGACTTTGTCTTTAGCCAATCCAATGTCCGGAAGCCGTGGGTGTTTCTCAGCTGTTCCTATTTTTCACGTTGGTCTACTCGGAAGTGATGTAACACCGTTGTCACTTCCGGTTTGTATTCCGCCATCTTTGTGACTGGCAACCGCTCTGTTATTGCCAGTAGCTTTGCCCATACAGAAAAGAATTCGTAGGTAGGGAGCCAAACAAACGGAGTATACAAAAAGAACAAAGATACATATCAGAATACATTTTAAATTCCCATCTAACTATGGTCTACTTTGTTAATCTAGTTTGAAGGTAACTTAATCTTTAAATTCCAGTATAGGCTACTATATAATAAAAAAAACCATAGAAAAGTATATATATATATATATATACATATATATACCAAAAATGATACATATAGTGAAAACCCTACTAAATGTCACACAGCACCATCATAAAATAGGGGATGGAAACATCAATAAATATATAAATATAAAATATATACACATATATATATATTAATTAAGGATTGCATGATGATAATTAAAATATGTATTATAAAAAAAAGACACAATTCAAAATCAGCATTGAGTCCAAATGGAGTAAGGGAATTAAGGTTAAAAATCCACCTCATCTCAGCCTTCCCCATTGCTGTTATGAGCTCCTCCCCTCTCCAGTTAGTTGTAACCTGTTGTATTCCCAGAAAAGAAAGTTGGGTCGGATCCATTTCATGTTTGATCTTAAAGTGATATGAAAGGCTATGTTTTTCAAACCTTCATTTTATATTCCTAACATGCTCCTGGATCCTCACATGTAGTGCTCGTGTCGTTCGTCCAACATATAATAGTCCACATGTACAAATAATAATATATATTACTCTTTTAGAATAACAAGTTATTAGTTGTTTAATTTCAAATCTCTCTTTATCTAGATGTGGAAACTCTTTAATATGTCTTTTCTTATTATTTGTATTGGAGCATGCCCCACAGTTCCCACAGCCATAAAAACCACCCTCCTCATTAAATGTATTAAATGAGACTCTTTTCTTTTGTAGATGGCTGTGAACTAATTTGTTCTTAAGGTTAGATACTCCTCTATAAATAATGTTGGGTTTATCAGGGAGTATAGAGCTTAAAACTGGATCTTTAGTTAGTATCGGCCAGTATTTATTAAAAGCTCTTTTAATTTCCTTATGTTTACAGTTAAAATCGCAAATAAAAGGTATTTGGTCTATACAATTTTCCTTTCTTCCACCATTGGGAATAAAAAGGTCATTCCTATCTTTTAGAAGGACTTCGTCATACTTTGTCATACTCCTTTTCTCTAAAATCCTTTAAAATGTTCTTAGATTGCTGATTAAAATCCCCTTCTTCCGTGCAGTTACGCTTAATTCTTAATAATTGTGATTTTGGTACATTCCTTAGCCATGGGGAAAAATGACATCTTCCTTCTTCTACATAGCTGTTTACGTCAGGGGACGAATCAGGAAGGAGATTAAGATTTAAAAGAAGAATGGCGGCAGAGAAAGGATTACTTTGATTGAAAAAGCCCATTTGCGGCGAAACGCGTCTTGAGGACCTTATTCAAGGACAGGACTTTGAATTATTTTATCATTTTGTTGTTTATGTATTTTTATACAGCTTTTTTATATATTTTTTTTTTAAGTAATAAATGAATCATTTTATGATTACAATTTTAGTCCAGTGTCCGCTGCTGCCTATATCTTAAAGAAGGTCAACCCCCCTGAGTGAGTTAAGGTGATACTAACCAGAGCCAGGTTTACCTTATTGGCTCTGAATAAGGTGAGCACTTCTACCATCTGGTATTTATATATATTTGAATATTGAGCTATATTGGTAAAATACTACACTAGAAAGGAATTTTTCCTGTCTTTTATATGTTTTTCTGCTAAGAAACAAAGAAGGAACCTGAAAGAAGGAGGGTGTCTCCTAAAAGACACCAGAGCAAGAACGACTTTAGCCAGTCTATTCTTTGGCTCTACATTTGTGAGTTGATATCACTGTTTTCATTAACCAGATTCCTAACCAAACATATTTCACCATTGGACTATTTCTCTCTTTTCCCTCCCCATTTTAGTTTTTTTATATATGTGCTGAGTTATATTACGAAATACCCCTAACAGTAGGGGTAAGTATACACTATTATTTCTAGCGCTCCACTTTTGGGATTTTTAGGTGGTTGGTATTCTTGTTAACCTTCCTTCTAAGCTCCATACTTTTAACATATTAAACTTTACTTGGCCCGTGTTACTCTTTGAGTTTCACATGCTTGGTTTACACTGAACTTTAGATTCCTGGGAAATGAGGAAGTGAAAGATTTGGATCCTAAAGAGACACTGTCCATAAAATGGGTACTTGATAGATATGCTAAATAAAGCCTTTTGATCACTATAAAATCTGCCCATCTGCTTTTCTTCATGAACATTAATGTATGCGAGCACTAGTGTTTTTTATCTTTAGACATCCCAACATGCAAAAATGCTTTTCAGGGAGGTGGTTTTACGAGCTACTGTGCCATACACTTAGATACACCCACTGACACATACAGCCAGATACACACTGACACACAGATACATACATTGACAAAAACTCAGATACACACAAACTGACACACACATCACACATTATATATTTGCAGCCACCTTCCTGTTAGCTTACCTTTGTGTCCAGGCCGGTGGCTTGGTTGGGATTCTGGTCCTGGCTGCGGATGATAGGAGTGAGCATGCCTCTCCTCTGCCTCCATGAGCCCTGAATAGCCCATGCCTCTTCCTCCCAGGCAGCTCTGTCACTTCCTCCCTGTTGGCTGATATTACAAAGCCCGGTTGGCACTTAAAGGACTACCAGGCCCCTGTTTATTTTTTTTTGGGGACTGAGGGAGGGTGCAAATCATATACAATTACCTGGAAATTACAAACACAATCTGACATACTTTGTTTAACTACAATATAAAATATGATACATTTCATATGAGGCCATATATGCAACATATAAGACATTACACAGTAAGAATTTTGGAGCTAGGGGTGTACTCAATCTTTGCATGTAGAGCAAAGAAAAAAAAGAAGAAACTAAAGAATTCAGAAGTATAGTTTCCACTTTGTTTTATTCCAAAATATATTTATTGCAATCACTTTTAAGGCGCATGTGCCAGATAAAAGTTTTCAAGCAAAAAAATATACATATATATTCTCAGATGTAAAAATTTTTACTGTATATATACACAAGCAGTGAATATGGTTAAATTGTTGCATGAAATGTTGCAAATATTTTCATTTATAGCACCAATTTTTTTTGGCAGTGCTTTTAATGGCATTTGACAGTAACATGCTTACATCTACGGAATACTATTTTAAGAGAACGTAGAGTGAGGAACAAGATCATCTTTAGGTTTACATTGTGCATGTGAAGTCACACTGCTCACACTGAAGAAGCACCCTACTAAATCTAGTGTGCCTCTGTGTAATTTGTGGGCAGTGCAGAGTGTATAAAAACTTATGGATTATAAAAAGTCTTGAAAGATAGGATAATGACATATTTACAAAGACTTGAATTCATGAATTCCCAACTCTATTCCTGACTCTATAGTGCTGAATTGGTTGTATAGGCTTTCTAATAAGAACAACAAAACAAGTTTAGGCTTTTTACACAGCAGTAAGAATTACTTATTTGGTTGATAAACTCCACTTTATACCGTATATAAACTATGCATTCTAAATAGAGTTGTTTCTCCACTGCCACGTTAGTCCTGCCTTGCCTAGCTCCACCTCTATGGCTGACTTCATCAATCTTGATGATCTCAGCCAATCCAACGCTTTTCCATTACAGCAAAACGCCATGCATCTCCTCATATAAATGCATTGAATCAATGCATCTGTATGGGGAACGTTCAACGTCTAGACAGGAAAGCCAGGTTGGCTAGCACAACGTGTAAACAAAATTTCTTATTCCTGAATACCAAGGCATAAGGTGCTTTTTAAAGGCTTATTCCTAAAACAGTTGATTGTGGTAAATTGACTGATGAACTGCATAATTTAGGCAGAAAGAGACAAGCAGAAAAAAACTCTTCATTACTCTCTATAACAGTCGAGCGTCAGTAACTGATAAACAAAGTTTTATGGTTTGCGGCTGGTATCGAGCAACAGTTTAGTTTTGATACAATGCAAATTTCACACACCATTTTACTGCCGGTAAAAGAAAAAGTCTTAAAATCAGGTCTAACTTATGATTTAGTTGTTACCATCACAATGGTGAGCTTGGTAGGCATACAAGTTAACAGGAAAAAAAATGGCTCCTTCACAGACTTTTCCATTACATGACAGACTGGAAAGTAATGGACAGTCAAGTGCAATGATAATGCTAATAGAGGACAGGTATATAATTAACATATGTCTTACATGGACATTGCAGTGTGTTTCAGGTGTTCTGCATATGTGAATCGGTTATCTTGACTATTTTGCTGTTTTACTTCACTTAAAGTGCTTTTTTGTCCTTTAGTTTGTCTAATTGATGAATGAAGCATCATTAATCTTGCTTGTGCACACCATTAGGTCAGACTAGAAGTCTGTGGTGTTCTTTCTGCTCATGCACTAACAGTTAGAAGTATTTTTCAGGTATTGCTTACAGTGGCACTGTCACCTCTCCACCCCAAAACATGAGTAACCATAAAGATAGATTTTGACTGTGTTGGAATTTTACTGAAATTCCAACCCAGTCAAGAGATATACTGAGAAAAAAATAGGGAGTACTTTATCTTTGTATATTTTCAATGCCTCACACTTCTAGACAACTGGGCGGAGCTACCACTGTCTAGAAGTGTCAATCCCCACCGCCATCACCAGTCCACGTGCTGAAGAGGACACGGCGGAGAAACTCACTGGACCTCCAACATCACTATCACTGTTGGGGGTATTTGCAAATTCTGCAAGGTTCCCAGATGGTGACAATGTCGCTCTCATTGTTGGAAATGCATTCTCAAATCCCTATAGGTGTAAGGGCAGGACCGGCCTTAGGGGTGTGCGAGCTGTGCGGCCGCACAGGGCGCCATGCCAACGGGGCACCGGGCAACAGACACAGCTCGCACAACAAGGTCCTGCCCTACCTCAGAGTGCCCTGGTGGGTGAAAGATTGTGCCCCGGCCGGCCGACCCTTAGAGAGTAAGCTCTGCTTTATTATTGGCCAGTGAGGAGATTGAGGACCTCCCTCACCGGCCCGCTGTGTGCATGATGGGGAGGAGCGAGTGCTCTGATTCTGCCCTCCTCTCGCGAGCTCGGCATTCGGAGTGTTGCCGCGGTGTTACCACGGCAATGCTCTCATACTATCAACGCAGAGCTTGCGAGGAAAAAAATGGCTCCTGTTCTGCAAGGTTCTGCAAGGTGCAGAACTTCAAGAGCTGGCAAAGACCGCTGGACCACCATGTCATCAGTATTCCCCCATCCCTGCCCAAAGGTATGCAAGAGAGAGGGGGAACAAACATGAATTAATTTAAGAACACAAAATATGAAATTGCTCTCCCACCTCTTTATTTAAAGCCTTATGTCACCCCATCCTACCCACAAATCACCACTATGGAGTGTGTGTTACCTACACACACTACAAAATCTACTCACACTCACACACTACATAATCTACTCACACACACACACACACTACATAATCTACTCACACACTACATAATCTACTCACACACAACATCTCCCATACACACACTACATAATCTACTCACACACAACATCTCCCATACACACACTACATAATCTACTCACTCACACACACACACACACACACTACATAATCCACAAACACACACTACATAATCCACACACACACACAACATCCCCTACACACACACTACATAATCTACTCACACACACAACATCCCCTATAAACACACTATGTTCTCTACACACACACACACACACACACACACACTAGATAACTCACAAACACTACAAAACATACAGATACACTATGCACCTTATACATATACACTACGTAATTTACACCCAAACACACTAAACTCCCTATACACACACTATATTCCCTAAACACATACACACTACATCCCCTATACACACACTGTTTCCTACACACATACACACTACATCCCCTTTAAACACACACATATTGCATAACACACACACACACACACACACACACTACATAACCTACACACATACACACTACATCCCCTATACATAGAAACATAGAATGTGACGGCAGATAAGAACCATTCGGCCCATCTAGTCTGCCCAATTTTCTAAATACTTTCATTAGTCCCTAGTCTTATCTTATAGTTAGGATAGCCTTATGCCTATCCCACGCATGCTTAAACTCCTTTACTGTGTTAACCTCTACTACTTCAGCTGGAAGGCTATTCCATGCATCCACTACCCTCTCAGTAAAGTAATACTTCCTGATATTATTTTTAAACCTTTGTCCCTCTAATTTAAGACTATGTCCTCTTGTTGTGGTAGTTTTTCTTCTTTTAAATATAGTCTCCTCCTTTACTGTGTTGATTCCCTTTATATATTTAAATGTTTCTATCATATCCCCCTGTCTCGTCTTTCCTCCAAGCTATACATGTTAAGATCCTTTAACCTTTCCTGGTAAGTTTTATCCCGCAATCCATGAACCAGTTTAGTAGCCCTTCTCTGAACCCTCTCTAAGGTATCAATATCCTTCTGAAGATACGGTCTCCAGTACTGTGTACAATACTCCAAGTGAGGTCTCACCAGTGTTCTGTACAATGGCATGAGCACTTCCCTCTTTCTACTGCTAATACCTCTCCCTATACAACCAAGCATTCTGCTAGCATTTCCTGCTGCTCTATTACATTGTCTGCCTACCTTTAAGTCATCAGAAATAATCACCCCTAAATCCCTTTCCTCATATGTTGAGGTTAGAACTCTATCAAATATTCTGTACTCTGCCCTTGGGTTTTTACGTCCAAGATGCATTATCTTGCACTTATCCACATTAAATGTCAGTTGCCACACACACACACACACACACTACAACCCTATCCCACACCACACTGTTTTCCTTACACACACTGAATCCCTATTCGACACACAACATAATGGCATGGCAACTTCAGGGAGACAGGACAGTCTTGTTAGAAATACGTTTTTACTCCTAATGCTAGAGTGTACTTTTACATAGGTTTGTTTTTCCCAAATTTATACATGTGGGAGGAATTCTTCTAGCCCATATATATCTAGAATGTTCTGCTCTTTAAAAAGACCAGAAACTGTGTGTACCATAATAAGTACAATTAAACATAATTTCTGAGAGTAATATTTATATATACATGTATATTAATATGGGTGTATTATTATTATTATATGTGTTATTACGCCTATAATATTTACAAATGTATTAATATACGTGTATATGCATGATATGCCCAGAAATCACATTAATATGTAACACCTATGTAATGGAGGCTTAGCACTTTTTACAAGATGGACGAGGGCATGTGACCATGGAGGGCGCTGTGAATATTTTTTGGACAGGGCGCCTGAAGTCCTAAGGCCGGCCCTGGGTGTAAGAGAACTTTTAGAGTTCAATGATACCATTAAAATCCTGATAACCTGTCTTCAGAAGGACTAAACACCTAAACTTGAGACACAAATAATGTCTTTCATTAAGTAACCGATAATGGTAAGAGCTTGTTCTTGCAACTGTAATTCGTTCACCGCCATTAATGGCTCATCAGCACATATTAATGTAATATAGATATAAATATCATATAGAACAGCTGAATTGGAAGAAACTACAAATACCCAAATTCATATATTATTAAATATTTAAAGCTCATGTAACTTTTAACGGCATATAAAATTCATTTTCTGAAGTAGTAATACCTGGGGCCAGCTCTTTATGCACGGAGCAGCACGGAGCAGAACGGAGCTAACAGAGGAGCTGCACGGAGGAGAAGGGAGCAGACAGGAGCTGCAGGAAGGTAAGTAACAGCTCACGGTCAGCCCCCAACAGGACCGCCGGGCTTGTAATGAGCCCGGCGGTCCTGGTCTGTATTATGGCAATGTAAATTGCCATAATACAGACATTGACTCGAGTATAAGCCGAGTTGGGGTTTTTCAGCACAAAAAATGTGCCGAAAAACTCGGCTTATACTCAAGTATATACGGTATATATATATATATATATATATATATATATATAACGTAAACAAATCCTGCAGTGCTTCACAATTATAGAACGGGATATTTGGCATAGAGAATATTAACAGAGACAAGAGGTGAAGAAGGCCTTGATCAAATGAGCTTAAAAGGATTTAAACACATACACAACTAACCTAAAAAAGTTAAAAAGAGTGAGGATGTCCATTGCAGTTGTACAAAGTCAAACTCCATGAAAGGCCAGGAGGCAACTCTAGTAATAGCCACTAGAGGTAGGCTTAACCCTGGAATGTAAACATTGAAATTTCTCTGCAACTGCAGTGTTTACATTCCAGGGATAAAATGACATAGACACTGCACACAGACCACTTCAATGAGATGAAGTGGTCTGGGTGTCTATAGTGTTGATTTAAGGTGCCTAGAATGTCCTTTGGATAGACATGTATTGATTAAAAATGTGTAAACTTCAGTTTACTAAGACAAGGATCGGCAACCTTGCTGGAGGTAGATTTCCCAGCAGCCTAATTTAAAGCACACACATAGTACACAGTTATGTTGATTCATGAGGAGATGCAAACTGGAGCCTGTTTGATTGTAGTAGGAGCTAGCGAGCAACCAACTTTACATACACGCCATCTTTTGGCCGTAGAGTAGATAGGGTGCTGATCTGGAGAGGAATCTGAAGAAAAGAGAGCGTGGAAAAATATTATGAAACATAGATGCTGTATTTTCCTAAAACTTAGGGTTATTATAGAGTTAAACAAAAATTGCATGAAATGCAACCACTTCAATGTATCCATCTACGCAATAAATTTTTATAATTTTTTAAGGAGATAGATGTAATATCAGAATATAGCTATTTATTTACAAAAGAAAAATGAAGGGCATTGTTATTAACCCCTTCAGGATGGAGTCAATAGTACACGTTCTGATCAAAGCTAAATGTAAACAAAAACTGGTATTTGCGCTATATGTCTGTTCAACCGTAATTCACCCCTTTCATATTAAGTGCACCCACACGTATTATATATCATTTTGTTCAGGAGAAACTGGGCTTTAATTTCTCATGAACTATTCATATTTGAAACATAATTTATTATGAATAAAATTTAAAAAACTGTGAGAAATTAAGATTTTTTAAAAAAGTTGTAGACATTTTAGCTGTAAATGTCATAATACCGTTAGCTTTAACTGCAAAAAAAAAAACACATATTTGGATTCAGCAAAGTCTCATGAGTACAACAATACCCATTAACCGTTTTTACGGTGTTTTGGAAAGTTAAAGGGTCAAATATAGCACATTCCATTTTTCAGTTTTTTCAAACTGAAATTTGCCAGGTTGGTTATGTTGCATTTGAGACCGTGTGGTAGCCCAGTTACAATATTTACAACAAACAGTCCGCTGTTTAACACAGGATAAAGTGCTTCAGAAATGAAATAAAGTTAATGTAAACAATGCTCCAGGGCCAGATAGTATTCACCCATGTGTGCTTAGGGAGCTTAGTGTAGAAATATGATACCACTGTTGTTTTTTTCAGAATTCTTTTCTTTCAGTAACTGTACCAGGGGATTGGAGAAAAGCAGATGATGTGTCTATATTTAAAAAGGGTTCAAAAGCCCAACCCAAAAACTACAAACAAGTGAGCTTAACATCTGTGGTTGGGAAATTATTTGAATGGCTGTTAAGGGATAATATTCAATAATTTATTTTGAACAAAAATATAATTAGCAGGAAATGAAAGACAGGTCGTTCCAGAATAACTTTATTTCATTATATGAAGAAGTTAGAAGAAATATAGATCAGGATGTTCCAGTAGATGTGATCTACTAGGATTTTGCTAAAGCATTTGATACAGTTCCACAGAAAAGGTTACTAGTAAAACTGAAATCAGTTAGTTTAAATGTAAATTTGTGTTCTTGGATAAAACACTGGGTTAATGATAGCATGCAGAAAGTAATTGTAAATGGGAAATGTTCCAATTGGACAAAAGTGGTAATTGAGTGCCTCAGGGTTCTGTGCTAGATCAACCTTTCTTTAATCTCTTATTAAATGATCCTGAAGTGGACTTGAAAGTCATTTTTTGTGTTTGCAGATGACACAAAACTAGGTAAGAAAAAACTATTTGAACATGATATAACTTCAAAGGGAGGGATTTGGATAAATTAGGGGACTGGGGAGGCAACAGGCAGATGAGATTCAATACAGATAAATGCAAAGTCATGAAACTCACAAGCCACTTATACATTAAATGGGGCATAACATTAAATGAAAAGCACTTGGGAATAATTATAGATCACAAACTGGGCAACAGTATGCAATGCTGGTCTGCACAAGCTAGCAAGGTGGTTTTGTGTATAAAAATGGGTATTGCTTCACCTAATCCAAATATCATTTTGCCTCTTTATAAATCAATTGTAAGACCCCACCTTGAATATGCAGTGCAATTTTGGGCACCAGTTTTAATGAAGGATAATGCAGCACTCGAAAAAGTACAGAGGCAAGCTACAAAACTAGTAATGTGGATAGGTAAACATTGGTTATGAGGAGAGGCTAGAGAAACTGGAATTGTTTTCTTTAGAAAAAAGGCACCTCCAAGGGATATGATAGCACTATACAAATATATCAAGTGTCAGTACAAACCGCTATGTGCAACCTATACAATAGACAAGAGGTCATCCATTGAGACTGGAAGAAAAACACTTTCTCTTTCAATAGAAGAGCAGAGGAAAAGGCTTTTTACAGTAAGGACAATAAAGATGTGGAATTTGCTGTCTTATTAGATTCTATAGATATTATCTGCCTATAAGTTGTAAAGGTTCTGTTCTGAGAATCTATAGATAAATTTAAAAAAAGGCTTGGGTGATGTTTTTGCGCATAAACAGAATATTCAAGGATATTTATTTATAAAATATTTTACCAGGAATTATACATTGAGATTTCTCTCATTTTCAAGTATGTCCTGGGCCCACAAATCATTGCATTGTTATAATTAGGGTACAATAAAATCCAAAAACAATACTAATACACAATATATACAAAATTTAACATAGAATAGGTAAGAAATATATAATCAACAATGACAAGTGCCTTCTGTTTTGAGGTATGTAGAAAGGGATCTCTTAAAGGACTTTAGGCTTGGGGAAGATTTGAAAGTGTGCGGGAGGTTGTTCCATAATTGCGATGCTCTGTAGGAAAAGGAGGATCGGCTGCTTTCTTTTTGTATTAAGGTAGACTAAATAAAGTGCTAGTACAGGATCGGAGGTTATAGGAGGTGGGAACAGCTGGGGAGAGCATTCTGCTGAGGTAGGGTGGGAGCTTCCCAGAAAAGCTCTTAAACACAAGGCTGGAAAGATGAAGGGTGCATGTTGATTCCTGTGACAGCCAGTTTAGTTCTTTTAACATTTCATATAATTGATATGTATGTAAACAGGTTGTTGATCCAAGGAGAAATCTGATTGTCATTATTGAGACCCTTTTTGTGGTGTAATTGGAAACTGCTACAATTGTTTTTTGGGGGGAGGGGGGATTGCCTTCTTTTAGATCAACAGCATAAAAAAATGGACATTTGGACTTAATGAACTTTTTTTGTAAAATTGTGTAACAAAAAACATGGTATTGAGACAATAATGATTAACCCTGTACTGGCTCAGAACAAGCATATATTTGCGGATTCATGTTTTACACTTTGTTTTTAATAAAACAGTAAACAGCACAGCACCGTGCTCTAGTTCCCATGGAATTGAGTTTTACCACTATGATTTTCAAACAAAAAAGTTTGAGCATTACAATCTTAGGGCGGTCTTGTCTATAAACATACTTTTATATTGCAGTTTTACCTGAGTTAGAGGACATGTATCAAAACGAAACTTCTGAAGCACACGGAATAGTGTAATCTTAGTTTCTAGGATAGCGAGTCTCATCCCAATGCAGCTCCTAGGCCCTGCTCCAAATGGCAAATATACGAATGGATTGCGCTTCTGTTTTTCTTCCACTGTGAACCTGCCATTAGATAATTTCTCAGTCAAAGCATTCAAAGCTGGGTTCTGCACAATTGTTTGACAATAAGATTTATCAAATCATTTTACATTATTCATTGCATTCAGCTATGATGCATTCAATGTAATGTTTATTGTATGAATCATATTTTGAATTGTGGCCATTATTTCCAGCACACCATCATTATGGTAAGTCAAAACAGGGTGTAAGAGAACACTGAAAAGACAAATATCAATTAGCTGAACGACCTCTGCTTTTATAAATTGTCTATTTTATTAGCGCAAGTGAATGTTTCAAATTGATTATTTTATTAAATACCTACAGTGTCTATGAGGCTTATGGAATGAAGGGGTGAGAATAAGGTGTTCAAATTAATTGTATCATTTACCTCTCAGGCTGGAATTTCTCTGGCTCTGACCAAAATTTGGGGTCATTATGCAAACATCCAATAGGGACTTCCAAAACAGTTCCTGCAGGGATCTTATAACCCATCACTGTGCAGTCACGAGAAGCTTCCCGGGCAAACCTGGTCATCAAACAAGAATTTATGCTTAATGAGTAAATACGATGATATAGATTTTAACATATTGTCAACCAAGCTGTTGCAGCGGTATGAATTTCTACATTTAATTAAATTTTTCAGACCTCACAAACATAACTCACAAACTTAGTGAATAAGTAAAGATAAGATTAAAAATACTGGTAAGTGATAGTTCCCGGTTAAAATACTATACATATATTAATGGAATAACAAGACGCATTCCTTGGATTTATATCACTGTTACCTGAATGCAGGAGGATACATGCGTAATGTCTCAGAGATCACCATATCAAGGTAAGGCAATTCATTAACGGTATTATAATCTGCCAAAACCTGCAGAAAAAAAAAACCAAGCATTAGCATTTTATTATTTCCCTACACAATCTCCAGGGTTCAGCAGCTAATCCGAGAAGCCACTCCGCCTGAATATAGCTATAAAGGACTCATTCACAAAGAACATTGCTGCAGGGGCACTGTCAAATGCGTTGGTGATTCTTGTCTGAGAATATCTCACCTGATTGTGTTTGGGGTAGCACATCAGCGCTTGAGTGCTAACAAAACCTTTGGTGCTTTATGATACAAAGCTAGCTTTTGGAGGACTATATAATCAACACCAGTGACTAGAGGGATGTGGGTTGCATTCAAGGCACACACAGTTTCACGTGATCACCAAAATGTATGGATCATGTGATCATCCAACTTTACAGATAGCTCCCTTTCACACTAGTAGAGCAAGAAATACAAACTGTCTCCTATTAACTTCACTATAACAGCATGGAGGCCAAAATCCAGTTATAGTGTTACTCCAAGCATCATACCCACTTCAGCCCAGTGTAGTGGTCATGATGCAATTAGAATCCTAGTGCTATTCCACGCTAATGATGCTAACCGCTTTGCAACGGTTTGCCTTCTTACTTGGATGCAGAAGGACGCAGAGCATCCTCTAAATCATGTGACGCGCGTTCCGTCTTCTGCTGAGCTGCAGAAGCCAGATGCCGAATCTGCTGGTCATTCATTGGCTGAGACTCGAGAGCGTTAGCTTAGAATTACATTATTACACTTGGTGGAAAATACTATAATACATATATAATTTTTCTTTATGTGTTTTTAAGAGTTATAACGCACTTTTGAAAGTAAGAATGTGTCATTAAGTTTATAGTAACTTGGGTTCTCTGCTCACATATTTTGGTCTTTTCACTACAATGTATCGTATAAGTGTTGTGCATGTGTTTAAGGTCAGGTGTTAGTGGGAGTACCGAAACAAGTGTTGTAGATGTTGTAGCAAACCGCATATACAATTTCATTTGATTTAAACACCTGTAATTTAAACACAACTTTACAATATCAAGTAATATAAACTTTTCAGGCAAGTCTAGTATTGCGTTCAGATAAGGAAGCTACACAACTATCACAAAGACTGCTGGGCTAAGTCCTCACAACAAGGTTATATCTCCAGTAAATCTGAACCTGTTTAGCTGTGAAAAAGTTAGCGGCTGTGACTTCTAGACTTACATGCTTTTCAGAAAATTCGTCCACCTCTCTCAGCACTTTGTCCTGGCACTCTGGGTGAATGGCTAGTAAATAAGTGGCAAATGACAGCAGACTGCATGTGGTCTCATATCCAGCGATGAGGAACAGGAAAGCTTGGCCCAGTATCTCCTCCTCATTCAGAGTTTTGGTTGTCTTTTTAGGGGAATCTGCATTTGCCATACGGGCCTCCTGGTGATCCACTCTTGGGGCAGAAAGGTCAGCTTGGTTGACTATGTCAAAATGCTCCACAGTGATGTTGCTGAATGAATCACGTGCATCCAGCATGAGTTGAAGAAAATCACGGCGCCTCTGGGGGATGAGCAAGAGAGACAACGTTACTAATGGCATTAATAAGAGTATTAGTTAAACAATCTAGAAACAAATTGTCTTATTCACTAAAGTGTCAATTCAAAGTAAATTTAACATTCTAGCCCCAAAAACAAGACACATTGGAAACTTAAATGGACATTCCAGACAACCAAAACAACAATGAATCCTATTTTCTTAAGCAGACAACAGGTAATGTTACTTCCTGGTTTGGTTAACTCAGTGGAGCTAAACTCAAGAGGTAGAAATTGCTCAGAGCACATGCCTTGCACAGACTTCTCATTAAGCTGCAATGGGAAGTCTGTGATTTGACACACTCAAAATGTATGGATTGGGTTAAAAGGGGAGAGTTTGCAAAAGCAGCAGACAACAGAACAGCAGATTTTGCAAGCGTTTTTTAAATATAACCCCAATGAAAAAATGCGTAATTAACTCTTGTATTAAAAACTGCTACCACCAAGGTAATTCATAAATGAGACGCCTTAGGTTACCCCACCAAACAAGATTTAAAAATCCACACAACACAACTTTTAAAAATATCTATGGAATAAAAAATATTATTCAATATGTCCCTTTAGGAAACTGAATGTTTATACAAAGGCAGAAATTAAAGGAACACTTATTATGAGAAAATAGTCACAGTGTATACATGAGAATAAACAGATAAGAACATTATTTATACCAACAAACAGTTAAAAATTAAATAAAAAAATAAAATACAAAATCTTAGTTGCTCAATTGTATCTTCTGTTCCGGGGTTCTCCAGCAAGGAAAATGGCAACTTACTCAAAATTGGGTCTTGGCCCCTAAAAAGCAGCCGGCTCATTAACATGCCATGTAGTTCATACCCTTTGCTCCATATAGAGTTTCCAAGTCGGCCCCAAAGGAGGTACAAGGCGTATGATAGGCTCGACTTTAGAAATTCTAGGCTGATTACACCTCCCATCTCACCTTTTGCTGATTTCAACACCAATTTGTATATAAGAGTTTAGAACAATGTTCATATCTCTTGCTGTACACCTGGGACAGAAATAAATCTTGGATGGAATAAATCAATGGAATTTTCAAAATGTATGTGTCCAAAGACACCTTACAAAACCCATCTCCAACTTATAAAAGCTAACATTCCCCCAAATAGCTAAAGGTGTTAGTCATGTTTGGACTTCTTCTGTAGGGAATACCATCAGCATTCTGACTGTGTGTAACAGGAGGCAAGATTATTTTTCTCAGTTATATTGTTAATGTTTTTTCAATATGACTCTTAGCAGACAGCCTGGCTCATGACTGCTAATGGTCAATTAGCATATCAAAAGGGCCCATAGTCTATTAAGCAGAAACTGCCAAAATACATAGAGCCTGCAGCACACATGAAATGTCCTGTGGATTTCACACCTGGCCAGAGGGACACAGCTAGATGCCTGGCCTCAAAGGAGAGGGATCCATTCTGCACACCTGGTCTTGTGATCTGATAGATGGCACATATCCTGTAGCAGCCAAATTGACCCTTCCATTGCAGTGACTTACTACCGCTATTACGTGACCATTTCATGCATCCATTACACAAATCACATATATTAGTAATATTTCTACAGTGTAACAAAAATTAAGCATGATGGGAATGACACTACATATGCCTTTGTAATAAATTATCTGTATAAATGGACAACCGGCTGCTGTTGAAGTAATTCCAAGTCATTTTTATCAGCCACTGGCTCAGAAATTACATTTCTGAGTAAGAAGAATTGCTTATCCCAGCTTGCAAAACAAACAGCAATTTCATAACATCTATTTTAAGACTGTGAAATGCCATTTACACACTGCTCATTATACACTAATACAGCTAATTAACCAAATCATTGTATTTGGAAAGCAGCGTGAACACTGTACAGAGAGAAAGGAATGCTCTATACCTCATTAGCTGGCTGGTCATCTCTTTGTGCAATAATGTCTCGAATGACCTTGAGGAAGAAGCTGTTTATCTGGTCACGCTTTTTATTTGGAATCCTGCGGGCGATGGGGATCATGATTGACGGAAATGCCACTAGGAAGGAGGATGAAAAGTGGAAATTAATTAGCAGATGGTTCTAGTTATCTAAGAAAAATAAGTCAATCTATGACTATGCAGAACAAGTCAACCACTTGAAAAAACAATTTTTAGAAAAAGGTTATGAGGAAATTGACCTCAGTAAAGCTCTAGAAGGAGTGGGATTTCACCAAGAAGAGAACCCCCCAAAAATAAAGAAAAAATTTATCCCCTGAGGAAGAACGAGGCCCCTTTCATCTGTAATTACAATGGAAACAATAGGAGAGTTTATCAAGATATTCAAAAACACTGGCACATTTTGACAGATGACCCAATTTTAAATAAAATTCTACCCCCCAAACAGAAAATCATCTATAGGGGAACAAAGAGTTTTAAAAATATTTTAGTAGAAGGTTGTTTAGAAACCAGAAAACCTACACATTTTTTAAAGGACCTTTTGAGCTTTTTTGGGTGTGGAAACGGTCTCCCATGTAGGGAAACAAAAAGCAATAAAAGAAATTTGGTAGACTTAAGTCAGATTCTAAATAAGCAATTTAAAATTAAAGATCATTTAACATGCCATTCCATGTAATATACGCCTTAAAATGCCCATGTAATCTCCTATATATAGGCCGAACCATTAGACAACTAAACGTGAGGAGCGCAAAACATATACGAAATATCAAGAAAGGTCTAGATACCCACATTGTCTCACAACACTTTAAAGTGGCACATTGTCAAAATCCAGAGGGCCTTTTTTGTGTTTTAAAAGCAGTAAAGATAGATTGGAGAGGAGGGAATTACATTAAAAAATTAGGCAGGGACGAAATTTAATTTAATTTTAACACACTCAGCCCACATGGACTTAATTCCGATTTAGAAACTTGCCATTTTTATTGACTTATTAAAAATGTTTTAGATTTTATTTTTCAATATTATAGATAATATATATCCCTATGTTTATGGAATGGGGAAGGTAACCCACAATTTACTATATGGTTTTTAAGCCTAGCATATATCTACAATCTATTTTACTATTTATATTTCCATTTTCCAATATGTTTCAAATATATATTTTCATATCTTATGTTTTTAGTTTTTAGAGTTTGGTAATCCATTTTGTGCTTCATCATTTTAGCACAACTAGATCGAAAAACTGATATAGAGTGATGCCCTTCTCCTTATAAATATATAGATTCCTTTTTTTGTATTCAAATCCATTTTATTATTTAATATATTTGTGCTTATGTTTCTGTTTTTGCTCTTATTACCCTGGGTTAATTGTTGGTCATGAACTTTCGGAGATAAGTATTAATGGACTGCTATACATAAAGTGATGTCTCGGAAAAGTTTTATTTGAAAAGAGTGGAAGCAGCATTGCGCTGGACAACAATAGAACAGCGGGGATGGAACGCAGCGATGTGTTCCAGCCAGGACATGCAAGGCTGTTAGGTAAGCGCAACGATGACACAGAGCATTAGAATGACGTCACACTGAAGACGCGGACACCCTACGAAACATCGGGTGTAAACAATTAACAGCATGTAAAAGGGATAAGCGATTTTGGAAATCTTATACACAACTGAAGAAGCCTCCAGGAGAAGCGAAATGCGTTTTGTACTGTAAGGACTTGATTTTAACTTATATATTTATTTATTTTTAAGAAATAAAGTATTGCTTTTCCTGCAATTGCCATCCAGTGAATTTGTACTGGAAAGCAAAGGAGAAGCCACTCATCGTACAGAAAAGGGAGTGGGATCCTTACAAATATCCCGCCAAGCTTACATTTTGAGCCTGATATGACTGGCTCTCGTTTTGTGAGTACATAACTGTAAAAGTATATACCACAGCTATATGTGTAGACAATATTGCACTAGGATTTTGTCTCTTCTGTTTTTTTCCTACTGCAGATTATACTAATCTTTGTATTATCATACTACCATCTATTATCTCCCTGAGTCAATACACTCCACCTATTGTGTTTTGATTTTTCTATTGGTGTGGATTGAGAGGATATCACACAGATGTTGTGAGTGTGCTGTATTATTGGTACACACTGGGATTTTGTGTATATTCTGTCTAAGTAATCCTGTCTGGAAAAGATCACATCAGCATTCAAAAAGGTAAAATAAACGAAAGTCAAATTTTTGCCGCTTTGTACTCAACAGGATTTATTCTCTCAGCAGGAATTTGACAATCAACATCCAGAATGGATCAAAATTGATGAACAAATTTTCCAACTCAATCGACACGAAGATCATTTCCAAGTTAGCCTACTTATTGATAAATAACTGTTAGCAATCTACAGCTAACTGTTTAGTGAACAAATAATTTAAACATTATAGAAACATCTCTTTCGGATACAATTCATTATAAATGCTCTGAAAGCAAACAGAGATTTGACCTACTGCCAGAATTTCAAGTATCCCGCAAAATACCAAGTCTTACATGACAGTAGCACTAGAGGTTTGAATGGGGTGAAAAGCTCCATGAACTTCTTGCTGTTTTGCACCAGAGGATGATCAGGGTCTTTCTGAGAATCAACTTTAGTACCAAATGCCACACTGACAACGACATCCATTGTGAAACATGCGTAATTCCTGAAAAGTTAAAAACAGGGATATTTGAAGGATAATCACTTCTACATATTAGCGGATTTTCTCTTGAAAGGTTAAGACAGAGGGGCAACAATATCATCCTGTAAGATGTAATCGCCAACTAAAGAAGTACTTTTCCCTCACAACTTACAAGCTAAAATATGGCAAAGAATATATTTGCATATTTAAACTAGAATGTAACCTGTATGGAAAAAGCATCATTAAATAAAACTTTGTAAAATCATCTATAATTGGAGTTAATCTTTTTTTTTTTGCTTCTTGTCATATTCAATTTATTTTTACATTTATTTTAAAGACTGAACAAATTATATTACAATCAAGTTTAGTCTAGGCACAGCTAGGGCACACATTTCAAATGAGGAGGAGAAATTAAAACATTGTTGGAAATTTATCAAAGTGTTCTTAAAAAAAAAGATAAATGTAAACGAGGAGGAGTTAACAATGGAATGTACCTGTTGGCTCAACTGGCTCCCATTGTGGCTGTTCCACTATTAGTACTTTACACCATTAAAAATTTTTTTACATTTTTAATGGAACACTTTGCTAAATCTTCTACATTGTGTTAAGTCTCCCCTTTTCTGTATGCTTTGAGAGGAAGCTAAGATGTAGAAGTCCAGTTGCAGGACACAAACGTGGATTGATTGTGAGTTTGTTGCATCTCTTGTGCAGAGAGAGTTGGCTTGCATTTTGGATCTGGACCGCCCTTTTGGCTGGGATCAGTCTGATATACAAATGGATTAGGGTCTCTTTGTAATGGCACTAGATGAGCTAAAGATCTTAGTGGAAACTAATCGAAGGGCAAGCTACTTGGGCTGCTGTTCGTTCTCAGTATTCACTCTGTTTTTTTTCTCTACCAAAGTTTAACCCCTTAAGGACCCAGGACGGTTCAGGACCGTCATCGGCATTTTTGCGTTGCCGACCGATGACGGTCCTGAACCGTCCTAACGGTCAGAGCTACTTACCTGATCGCCGTCGTTCCCCCGGCGGCGATCAGCGTGGCTCCGGTTGTGGGGAGACTGCCTGCAGCCCAGACAGTCTCCCCACGGCAGATTAGGACCCCTGTGGCCATGTGATCGCTTAACACAGCGATCACATGGTCACAATAGGTGTCCATGTGTCTGCCTGCAGGGGGACTGTCTGTGCTGACAGGCAGTCTCCCTGCTAGTGTAAAATCAAAAAAATAAAATAAAGTTAATGTTAATAAAAAATAAATAAATAATTATATATGTGTATATATGATATATAGACATATATTATATCTATATAATATATGTCTATATATCATATATATATAATGTCATACTAAGTGTATTTTTATATTAATATGTACTTATATTAATATAAAAATACACTTATAATTAAATTACACACGTATATATATAATATATATAATAACTATATATATTGTATATATATATTATTATAAAATATAAATAATAAGTAATTTAAATTAAATAAACATTTTTTTTAAATAATAATACAAAATTTAAAAAAAATTATATAGCTATATGAAATTTTATTCTAACTGTATTTTAAAATTAATATATATATATTTATATCAAAATACACTTAGAATGAATTTGTATATATATCTATGTATATAAAAATAAATAAAAATAATAAGAAATATACATACGTCCATATACAAAATTACATAAATAATTATATAAATATACACGTAGACTTCAAATATATAAATATGCATATATATTTAAATTCTACGTGCGTATTTATGTAATATTTTTACATAATTCAGTAATTTTATTGATTGCAATTTGAGGGACCTGCCTGCCAACCCAGGCCGAAATTCCAGAGAATTTAATTTGTTAGCACTGTATTTTACCCTGTAACGTTCTACGACACCCTAAAACCTGTACATGGGGGGTACTGTTTTACTCGGGAGACTTCGCTGAACACAAATATTAGTGATTCAAAACAGTAAAACATATCACAGTGATGATATTGTCAGTGAAAGTTACTTTTTTTGCATTTTTCACACACAAACAGCACTTTTACTGATGATATAATTGTTGTGATATGTTTTCCAGTTTTTAAACACTAATATTTGTGTTCAGCGATGTCTCCCGAGTAAAACAGTACCCCCATGTACAGGTTTTATAGCATTTTTGAAAGTTACAAGGTCAAATATATGGGTCAAATATTTTTACATTGAAAATGGCCAGGTTGGTTACGTTGCCTTTGAGAGCGTATGGTAGCCCAGGAATGAGAATTACCCCCATGATGGCATACCATTTGCAAAAGAAGACAACCCAAGGTATTGCAAATGGGGTATGTCCAGTCTTTTTAGTAACCACTTGGTCACAAACACTGGCCAAAATTAGCGTTCAATTTAGTTTTTTTACTTTTTTCACACACAAACAAATATGAATGCTTACTTTGGCCAGTGTTTTCGACTAAGTGGCTACTAAAAAAGACTGGACATACCCCATATTGAATACCCTGGGTTGTCTACTTTAAAAAAAATATGTACATGTGGGGTGTTATTCAGAGATTTATGACAGATAATAGTGTTACAATGTCACTATTGATAAATTTTAAAAATGTATGTTTTGAAACCGCAATATCCTACTTGTACCTATAGCCCTATAACATGCAAAAAAAAGCAAAAAAGCACGTAAACACTAGGTATTTTTAAACTCAGGACAAAATTTTGAATCTATTTAGCAGTTTTTTTCATTCGCTTTTGTAGATGAGTAAAAGATTTTTCAAGTAAAAGTCAAAAAACATGTATTTTTTTCAATTTTTCATCAGATATTTTTTTTAAATTAAAATACATGAGATTATATAAATAATGGTATGTAAAGAAAGCCCCTTTTGTCCTGAAAAAAACAATATATAATTTGTATGGGAACAGTAAATGAGAAAGCGGAAAATTACAGCCAAACACAAACACCACAAAAGTGTAAAAATATGCCTGGTCGCAAATGTACAACATCGCAAAAACAGTCCAGTCCTTAAGGGGTTAAAAAGGCAAACCAGACATGGACCCCTTGCTCACAGTGCCTAGAGGGGTATCAGCTATACCTCAATAACATGGCCAAAATGATTGTATTCTCTTGCACCCTGTTTTTTTTTTTTATATATTAAATTTTCATTTTTCAGACCTCACAAATACCAGGGAACTCCAGACACTCTTAACTACTTCAATGATATGAGTCAGTTACAATGCTTTCCTAGTCAGCATTAAAACGTTTTAATGCCAAACAAGAGTATACACCAGCTCATCCCCTCTGTGCTGTTTGATCTAATGAGGAAGCATTAGTCTGAGCAGCATTGGGTGGCTGTGATTAACTGAGAGTGTCAGCTGATGACTTCCAGCCTATCACAGCATGCATTGCTGGTATGAACTGGTATGGCTAGAAGGAAACATGTCATCTCTGCTGTAGCCATACCTCCAAGTATGGGCAGGCATGTGGGTGTCCAGGGACCCTTATTCAGTGTTCAACTGCTCAAAAATGGATTAACACTGAATGGAGAGATGGTGCCAGGGGACTCCAGGCACTATAACTAATTTAATTAGATGAAATTGTTACAGTGCCTATAGTGCTCCTTTAAGGGGACACTATAGTCACAAAAACAACTACAGCCTATTGCATTTGTTCTGGTGAGTATAATCATTCCCTTCAGGCTTTTTGCACTAAACATGGTCTATTCAGAGAAAATGCAGTGTTTACATTACAGCCTAGTGATACCTCCACTGGTCACTCCTCAGATGGCCACTATAGGTGCTTCCTGGGGAAGTGCTGCACAGTGTGCATCACTGACATTCAGTGTCTCCACCCTCTGCATAGAGACACTGAACTTTCCTCATAGAGATATGTTTTACTATAATTAGGTTGCTAAGGGGGAGCCAGGGGGGCTACATTGTTAGTTTAACACTATAGGATCAGGAATACATGTTTGTGTTCCTGATCCTATAGTGGTTTCTTTAAATATAGCATATAAGCAACCCTAGTATTAAAAATCCAGGGATGTCAAAGTTCTCCTTTAAATATCCAAGTACTTTCATTCTAGGGACAATATCAATTAAAAATTAACCTAATGTCAAATGAAGGTTAGTGGGTTATTACTCTGTTTTCTACCAGGTAGGTCATTTACATGAAACAAGTTGAGTAAGTAACTGTATAACAGAAAATATATTTATAGCTAAACTACTGCAGAATACATTATACTCTAGTCCAGGGGTAGGCAACCTACGGCTCTAGTGCCATGCACGGCACTCAAGGTGTCTTTGCACGGCACTCAAGGCCGCTAGAGCCAAACATGCTGTGGCCTATCAGAAGTCCCAGTGAAACTTCAGATATCTGCTAATACGAAAAAGGTGGTGAAGGACAATCCTCAATTTATGCATTGCAGCACATAGAGGAAGTGATCTCAGATCACTTTCTCCCAGCACTTGTGAATGGGAATCCATACTTTAGTGGAGCAGCCTGCAGCTGCTGTTACTGCTCCTGTCCTTGACCTGTACCAGGACAGCCTGGTCCCCACTGGAACCCAAGGAAGCCACCCACACTGCTAGATATACACAGAAATGCAGAATAACCCTCCCCTCATACAAATAAGATGAACAGCCTACACACAAACATACACACAATTCCCACAAACATAACCCGCTAACAATCCACATACATGCACACAACCCCACATGCAGCCTCTCACATGCAATACCCCAAACAGCCAACACACACTACCAAACACACAATGTGACATATCCATCCACACACAATTCCACAAGTAGCCCTCATACACAGCCCACATTTATATGTATCATACACAATACCATAAACTACTAATGAACATATTCAATCTAATAGCTCATATACACACAAATACAATGATACAAAGCAATTACAGTATAAACAACGCAAGCAGAAAACGGCAACATACACACCTCAATTTTAAAAAATAGGACCGGCACGCTACGGGACATCACAATCCTATATCTGCACAGTACTGCTAAAAAGGTTGCCTACTCCTGCTCTAGTCTATACTCTAGCTTGATTAGAATGTCTTGGAATATATTACAGACTACAGACTACAATAAATATGCATGTGTCTGGATGATGTTCCTGGAGGTATTTGCCAGTGACAGTAGTGTGAGATTAGATTGTGATCAAGACAGAGTAACACAGTGGAATCAATGGTGAGAAACATAGTCTGTGTCTCTCAGCATACACAGATCTCTGTAAAAGTTAATTCATACTGTGTAGGTCATGCTGATAGAGGTTATATATGACGGCACACCTGCCATATGTCAAGTCTATATATATTGCATGAGTCATACACATACATTAGTAGGATCATCCACACTCACTGAGATCTGTGAGCTTCACAAAACAAATCGACCATTAATTTGTACTCGTGCCATAGGCCAAAGGTTGCCAGACCTCCCCTGGAGGATAATAATGAAGTCACTGGTCGCCAAAAACACATTTGCTATAGACAAATGTATATTGAATGTATGCCTTTTAATTATATCCCAAATTCTTGCTGGAAGCTCCCTCAATTCCACACTCCTTTATGCATTACTAGAAATAAAGTAACATATGTGTTCATGTTCTATTTCTGAATATAAAAAATGTTGCATAGTAACGTAAACTACATGGATGATCAATGTGGTAACTTGAAAATTATAGTTTGAAAATATAAGTAAAAAATTTAATTTTGACATAAATAAAAAAAAAAAAAAACCCAAAACAATTCCAATAAAATATCTACATTCCAACCATTGAGCACCACAATTTCGGAGCATTTTCAATCATTAAAAATAAACAAATGAATTCCTTAATACACCAGCAAACTCTTAAATAAAATATGAGGGTGTCCATTGCCGAGCAGTGGTCCACAAACTACTGAATGGTCCACAAACTTTTACTCATTAATGAATATTTCCCATTATCATCAAATTGTTTTCAACACAGTACTTGAACAAATTCCATACATAAACTTAAGCAGATCTGCATAAACAGTGGGAACATCCGACCATTACTTATGTACTTATTTAAAGTAATGGAGCACATGGTTTAACATACTTTTCAGTGGTCAGTTAAATTCTATATCTACTTCTGCTTAGTCTAATCACTTCATTGAATCATATATCGGCTACCACAAAATAGTCCCTTGCTTAGATGCAAACAAGGGGTGGTGGCATTTGTAAATTATCTTTAGCTCCATTAAAACCAGTTTGACACCTAAAAGTTAAACTGTGCCTAATGGATTGCTGTAACTATTAACACAATATAGAATTCAAAGGTGGTCATGCTGAAATCAATTAATACAAATAAAAACTGAATGAATTATGGAGAATGTTTAATGTAATTGAGGACTGTAAATCTTAAAGGCATGCATTATACCTTATATTGACAATCCAGGATACTGAAACCAGTTCTAGCCAACACAGTGTAAAGCTCTTACCTTTGAACAGGACAAGGGTCTCCAGTCTCTGCATATTTCTGAAGGTTGGTCACCAACACATCACAGCCTTGGTTTATAAGAGGGCACATCTATGATATAAAGGTATTCCTTAGTAAGAGTGATGAGGAGAGCGAGAAGAGGGAGGGGAGGGAGGGAGAGATTGAAAAAACGACAGAAAGAGATAGAGAGGAAAGCAGAATTTCCAACCGGAAGACATAGAGTTAGACATGTCCTTATTCTTATTAGTACTGATCTCCTTTAGCACCAATATTAAGTACAGTGAGTGTGAACCTCTTCCAACAGACTGGATGAGGAAACATTAAAGTTATGATTCTTGAGTGTCCCCTAATGCCTATCTAAGTCAAGTTTAATAAAAGCCAAGTTTATTATAAATATAATGACTTGTATACGTATTACGTTACAGAAATAGTCTGTTTTACTGACTTAGATAAGAAGCCTGCATTGACACATGGAGCAGAAGTACAGATGTGAGAAGAAAATAGCATGCAATTCGGGACTTTCTATGTTTTATTGGTTCGGTAGCTGTAATTACCGAACACCAACCACCCTCCCTGACTCATTATCTTCAAAGGAAACTGTCAATTAAGCGCTCTCCCTGTGTGGCCGTCATTCATACAGGGAGTGCAGAATTATTAGGCAATTGAGTATTTTGACCACATCATCCTCTTTATGCATGTTGTCTTACTCCAAGCTGTATAGGATCGAAAGCCTACTACCAATTAAGCATATTAGGTGATGTGCATCTCTGTAATGAGAAGGGGTGTGGTCTAATGACATCAACACCCTATATCAGGTGTGCATAATTATTAGGCAACTTCCTTTCCTTTGGCAAAATGGGTCAAAAGAAGGACTTGACAGGCTCAGAAAAGTCAAAAATAGTGAGATATCTTGCAGAGGGATGCAGCACTCTTAAAATTGCAAAGCTTCTGAAGCGTGATCATCGAACAATCAAGCGTTTCATTCAAAATAGTCAACAGGGTCGCAAGAAGCGTGTGGAAAAACCAAGGCGCAAAATAACTGCCCATGAACTGAGAAAAGTCAAGCGTGCAGCTGCCACGATGCCACTTGCCACCAGTTTGGCCATATTTCAGAGCTGCAACATCACTGGAGTGCCCAAAAGCACAAGGTGTGCAATACTCAGAGACATGGCCAAGGTAAGAAAGGCTGAAAGACGACCACCACTGAACAAGACACACAAGCTGAAACGTCAAGACTGGGCCAAGAAATATCTCAAGACTGATTTTTCTAAGGTTTTATGGACTGATGAAATGAGAGTGAGTCTTGATGGGCCAGATGGATGGGCCCGTGGCTGGATTGGTAAAGGGCAGAGAGCTCCAGTCCGACTCAGACGCCAGCAAGGTGGAGGTGGAGTACTGGTTTGGGCTGGTATCATCAAAGATGAGCTTGTGGGGCCTTTTCGGGTTGAGGATGGAGTCAAGCTCAACTCCCAGTCCTACTGCCAGTTCCTGGAAGACACCTTCTTCAAGCAGTGGTACAGGAAGAAGTCTGCATCCTTCAAGAAAAACATGATTTTCATGCAGGACAATGCTCCATCACACGCGTCCAAGTACTCCACAGCGTGGCTGGCAAGAAAGGGTATAAAAGAAGAAAATCTAATGACATGCCCTCATTGTTCACCTGATCTGAACCCCATTGAGAACCTGTGGTCCATCATCAAATGTGAGATTTACAAGGAGGGAAAACAGTACACCTCTCTGAACAGTGTCTGGGAGGCTGTGGTTGCTGCTGCACGCAATGTTGATGGAGAACAGATCAAAACACTGACAGAATCCATGGATGGCAGGCTTTTGAGTGTCCTTGCAAAGAAAGGTGGCTATATTGGTCACTGATTTGTTTTGTTTTTGAATGTCAGAAATGTATATTTGTGAATGTTGAGATGTTATATTGGTTTCACTGGTAATAATAAATAATTGAAATGGGTATATATTTGTTTTTTGTTAAGTTGCCTAATAATTATGCACAGTAATAGTCACCTGCACACACAGATATCCCCCTAACATAGCTAAAACTAAAAACAAACTAAAAACTACTTCCAAAAATATTCAGCTTTGATATTAATGAGTTTTTTGGGTTCATTGAGAACATGGTTGTTGTTCAATAATAAAATTAATCCTCAAAAATACAACTTGCCTAATAATTCTGCACTCCCTGTATAGGCGAATGCGACGTGCGAGAAAAAACGTCAGCCATCTTGTTTGCATGAAAGGAGGCAGCGGGACTAAAGTGTCTGGAACTAAAATTGGACATTAGACTTCCTGAACACCGGTCAAACTATACAAACGCCTGCTTCCTTTTCCCGAACAGCTAGGAGAGCGCTGTTCGGTAGTTTGGTTCCCATGAACAAGGAGAACAATCGCTACTATGTGTCAGGGGGATCCGTTCATGTATTATTTTGTGTTTGTGACTTTTCTAAATAGACCGACCGCACAGCCTAAACTCATGGAATTGTTTCTGGGCAGTAGACTCGTGTGCGGTCGTTACAAATGGAACTTCCATAAAATTCAAAAACCCCTGAGCTGATCTGGGTAATCTTTGGATATGTTGGTCACCCAGATCAGGGCTATCAGAGGATATGCCATTTATGGGGATGTTATGTGTTTTAGGGTAAAATCTGGGGAAAATATGTGTTTACTGCCTGGAGATAATTGGGTTATTAATCTAGCTGATTCAATTATCTCACATGCAGAGAGGAGGGAATTATCTGTTTGTATTGGAAGTGTCACACTTTGTCACTGTAATATTATTGGCTGTAACCTTTGTGTCCCTGTCCCCCACAAGGTCCATGTGGGAGTGCCCCTTGCATCAGGACTTGCATAAAAGCCAGTGTGGCCATTAAAATTCATTCATGTTGTACCCTTCATGAAGTCTAGGCTCATGTTTGGGTTATTGTCTACTTGCTGGGGAGAAACTACTTGGATGCTACATTCGTCTGGAACTATTTGGATCTACACCCGAACTGCAGCTATAATCACTCAGGCTCAGCAGTTCGGGAGGAATAGGCGAACAGGGTATTTACTATACCAGCATTCGTAACAAGAAGTATAAGTGAGTGAACAATAAGTTAAGAATGTGTGTATTCTTTAATATTATCTTCAACAATTCCTGACCAAAAGATATCAAGCTCTCTCCAGTGGACTACAACTCTTGGGAGGTCAAGGCATCGTACTACAGCACAGGTAGAAAAGACACTTGTTGGCTACCAATACAATGTAAAAGTCCTGTGTACTGCTGCATGGTGGACTCACCTCTTTCATGCGTACTGCACTGAACGATGGTGTAAGCACACTGCGAACACGCTTCCACTTCTCATCGCGTAGACACAACAGACTGTCACTCATTGGCTTAGTCACCAAGTTCAACTTCTGCAGAGAGGCATCAAAGAGTACACATTTCAGGAAGGCAAATCAGTCTTGCTACAGCTACAAACAATACAGAGCTATACAGACAGATTTACCTTCTTTACAGTTGGCCAACAGTATCGATACAGATGTGGACCTACAGCAGGACAGCTACCTGCTTGTACTACTGACTTACCTGATAAGAGGAGCATGATTTTCAGCAATACTAAAGCTCTAGAAAGTGAACCCCAGAGATACTTTTCTTAACTACTAGGTTGATTATTACACAAAGGAGCATATGGGCAACGACCATTAAAATGTGAGGTTGTAGTAACTTAACAAATGACTTTCAAAATTCACACCATAACAAGCAGGGATTATTTTTTTAAATTACCTTTTTATACAAGATAATGAATGCATTCCAAATGATGTATTCATATTCTCATTTTGACCATACTTTGATCCTAGTTAATCTCTCTTTGTAAGAGGACAGACCAGACTATTTATTGTAGGGCCTTTGCACATTTTTTGTTACCATTGGAGGAAACAACTCACCATCCTATTTGTGAAGTTACTGAAATCCTTCTGCAGAACCTGTTTAATAGCTTCTGGTTCAGACAAGAGGACAATAGGACGGCGCCCCATGTAATACCTGTATGCAGAAAGATAGAAGATTATTCAGGTGGGCGATTGTACTTATAGGTTGAAATTTACTTAACAGGGCATCAAAAACATGATATCAATGACACTGTGTTTTATTTTTTTCTAAAGATCTTTCATTTTAAAGTTACAGCTGTGGAAATTTTTTTTTTAATTCTTTATTTTTGTAGTGCTTTTAGTATCACATATACACACGGTATCATATCAAGGTTAACAGATATTGGCATTTTATGCATGATGGTGTATTATCGTAACACTGTTAGAAACTGCACAATTTAGAATAATAAAACAATTGGCACAGATGCAATAACTTAGTGATAGCTCCCTATGTGGGCATGTAAGTAGGTTCTAGCTAGCATGTGTTATAGTGCAGTGCCCGTCAAGGGAGTCACCCCCCACCCTACAGCTATGGGATGTTGAGTTTGCATCATTCGAGACAGTGGTACCGGGGAGAGAGGGGGAAGTGGGAGGAAGGAGAGTGTACAAGACGGTTCAGGTCTGAGCAGGACCAGTGTAGAATGTACGGTCGTGTATAATCAGTAAATAAAATATAACATAAAGGCACATATCAAAGGAGAAACTTAAACATAAGTTAACTGGTGCTTGGTGGTTAGGCAAACGTCAATTAGTAATGAGATCTCGGTGTATCTACTACAATAAAGTGGGGAGTTCCCATCTGGACCGGGTACTCGCTTCAGGACACAGTCCCTCCTGTCAGTGACTTAGCAGATCCTGAACGCCGGAATGCACATGGGGTGAACTCCGGGATATTACAGAAGGGTCTAGCCCCATTATCATTATATTGGCGCCTTCAAAGGGCATTGGGGTCTTTCCCTGGAGAGCAGTTAATAGCAAGGCCTTGTCTTGAAGGGACTGGAAGCTGGTTGGGGCGTTCGCTGGTTTTGGCAAGCGGAACATTCCATCCAATCTGAGAGCCTTCACCTGTTTCGGTAGTAGCAGGGCAGCAAACAGGCGGTGGATAAAGTAGGGTAGGTCGGTGAGGCCCACTGACTCCGTGACCCCCCTCACCTTAAGATTGTATCTCCGTCGCTAATCCTCTAAAGCATCAATTCTCTCCGTGGTGGTGAGTTGTTGTCTCTGCAGGTCGGCCACCTTTTGTTCAACTGCCATTAGCCTAGTGTTGTGGGAGGCTTCAAGCAGGGTGAGCTTGGTTGTGGCGCCGTCCAGGGGCAGTTTTGTAGTAGGCCATATCGGCTGCTATATTCTTTCGCAGGTCTGCCAACATACTTTGGGGCAGATCCGCTGTTACCGGGTCCCCGGCACTCGAAGATTTGGGGCTGCGCTCTTTTGGCAGGGAAAACGAGGCTCCTCCATCCGGCTCAGTAAGTGCTACCTCCGAAGAGTATGAGGACAGTTCGTCTCCCAGCGCCATCTCGGACCATGCGTCCTGTTGGGAACTCCGCAGCAGATCCCCAATATCTTTGCTCGTGGGGCCTCTGTCGGGTCTGTTTTTTTTTTATTTTCTGGCCATTCCCCCCTTTTGTGCGGGTAGTAGGTGGTGTTTGTGGGCGGAATTCCACCAGTAAATCACTATTTATGCCTATTTGGGCACAGAGCTCGGTGCAGTGCGTCCGCTCTGGTCTCTCGATAGCTCCGCCCTTCACAGCTGTGTAAATTTAAGGAGTATATGAAGCCATTGGCTGTACTTCAAAGCTACACAATCAGAATGTTAAGTGGATTCCCTTACTCTGTAAGCTAACTGATATTGGGAATCATCACCAGTAAAGGTTTCACACATTTAGTTGTAAAGTAAAACACAAAAAAGCCATAATGTTAGAAGATTATAATTGGGCATTAGCCTTTAGAAAGACCCTGCTCTTACACAACAGGTAGAAACAGGATACGAAAAAAATAAATATATAGAGAGACAGAATCCATTTAAAATGTTATTATGGGAAATAAAAGCACACGGATCACTTGCTGTAATACGGTGAGCAGTTTAGATTTTGTCTGGGTAAATTAACCAACTTGGAACAGTTATATATTGATTGCGTTGAGATTTTCTTTTTCCATACATTACTTTAGAATTGTTTATATTCCTCTATTTCAACATTGAGACAGATCACCTAGTCACCATCCGTAGCCAGGAGGTTTTCCTATATCTTTCTCCCAAAAGACTATTCTGTCCCTGGCTCTCATCACCTTTCCCTCAAGTCCAATCAACCGGGAGCGCCCCTTCCTCTGGCCGTAACCGGTTTTCAGAAAGCTGCGAGGACTATAGCGGGACTTATCCACAACTTCTCTGGTACTCCGGTCCAGCCGCAGCTAACTTCATCTCCCGGTCAACTTTCCGGATGCAGTGTGTGTTTGTGTAGTGTATTCAGTGTGTATTTGTCTAGTGTGTAGTGTGTGCAGTGTGTATTTGTCTAGTGTGTAGTGGATGCAGTGTGTATTAGTGTAGTGTGTATATAATGAAAGCAGAGTGTTTAAGTAGTGTGTATATAATGAAAGCAGAGTGTTTGTGTAGTGTGTGGGTAGTGTGCGTAAAGTGAATGCAGTATATACTAAATGCAAAGTGTGTGTGTTTGTGTAGTGTATATAATGAATGTAGTGTGTTTATATAATGCAGAGTGTGTGTTTGTATAGTGTGTGTATATAATGCAGTGTGTTTGTGTAGTGTGCATTATATAAACACACTATGCAAACACACACTGCATTAATTATATACACACACTACACACACTGCATTATATACGCACACTACACACACACTACACAAACACTGCATTATATACACACACTGCATTATATACACACACTACACACACTGCATTATATACGCACACTGCACACACACTGTATTATTTACGCACACTACACAAACACTGCATTATATACACACTACACAAACACACTGCATTATATACAGTGTTTGTGTAGTGTGTATATAATGCAGAGTGTGTGTGTTTGTATAGTGTGTGTATATAATGCAGAGTGTGTGTGTTTGTATTGTGTGTGTATATGATGCAGAGTGTGTGTGTTTGTATAGTGTGTGTATATAATGCAGTGTGTTTGTGTAGTGTGCATTATATAAACACACTACACACACTGCATTATACACACACTACACACACTGCATTATATACGCACACTATACAAACACTGCATTATATACACACTACACAAACACTGCATTATATACACAGTGTTTGTGTAGTGTGTGTATATAATGCAGAGTGTTTGTGTTTGTATAGTGTGTGTATATAATGCAATGTGTTTGTATAGTGTGTGTATATAATTATGTAATTATATACACACACTATACAAACACAAACTCTGCATTATATACACAGTGTGTTTGTGTAGTGTATGTGTATATAATGGAGTGTGTGTGTGAGTGGGCATTTTTTATTACAATTTTTTTTATATATATATATTTAATAAATTATTTATTTTTGTTGTACCCCCTCCCTGTCTCATACTTGGCCAGGGAGGGGGGATATAGCAGTCCCTGGTGGTCCAGTGGCATTGGCTGAGCTGTGGGGGGGCGGGCAGCAAGCGCTTACTCACCTCCCAGCAGCTCCTCCAGCTCCCCAGTGTAACTCTCGCGGCCACCATGCCATGGTAACGGGTCTCGCGAGAGTTACACTGGGGAACTGGAGGAGCTGCTGGGAGGTGAGTAAGCGCTTGCTGCCCGCCCCCCCAGGACCACCGGGCTTGTAATGAGCCTGGCGGTCCTAGGAGGTATTATCGGCAATATCGGTAACTGAATTGGATCACAATTTGATTTCTGCATGTAAGGCACTAAAACAAGACAATTTGGAAAGAGTGTCGTTATTTGAGTATTGCACTAAAGTAAGACAATCTGTTGTATCCAATTAAATTAAATACAAAAGTAAATCCTTACTAAAAGTTTTTTTTAAAAGAGGGATTATCACCTAAATATCGCAATATGAAAATATCAGTTTTTATTTTTTTTCCAAGAGTGATGATTTTTTTTTGTATCTTACAGAATGTACAACAATTATAGCAAAGGCTGTTCTACAATCATGATCTGATTTCTGCTTCTAATGCATTAAAGCAAGACAACTAACAGCATTTATTATTTTTCTCATGATTAATAATTGGAAAGAACATTATCCCACCATGATTTGATTACTGCACATAAGTGAGTATGTAACAATCTGTAATAACCAATCATATGGAAAACAAAAGCAAATCCTTATTATGGCAGAAGGGGGAGACCTGTAAAACTCTGCTACCCATTTAGATTTTACGCAAATGAGACAACAAAAGATTGAAACCTTGTTTCAAGCGGAATTACTAAGAGACAGTAACCCAAAAATTGATAGTTCAATGATAACATTACAAAAACAACTTGAAAAGTTGAATCTTAAAGAAATGAAAACTTTCTGCCAATGCCGAAGAATACAGCCGCGTGAGTGCTGAGCTCTGTGTCGGCAGATCGAAAAAAAAGAGTAATCATCCGGTGAAATATTACCCCTCCGAGCCCAATGGGGTCAGACAATATGTCCCACTATGAAGGCAAGAGACAAGGGGACAAATCCTCCCTTTTTGCTGCAAAATGGTAGTCTAAACTGCAACTGTCCCAGGAAGACCTGCAAGACATTCTCCACCTTTTCCTTGAAGGTGGGACGGGAACTTGCAATGCAGGTATTGTCGGGGAAATGTATGTTGATTAAGATATATGACACAATTTCTCACGCTAATCATGAGATTAGACTCCCATAACATCAAGGGGCTGAATGCCCCATTTAAATGCCATGAGTTGTACAGGGAAATTAACTGAAGATGCCATTATATTCTTCCAGGAGACACACTTCAGGAAGGATGACCCATGTAGGTTTCAAGTTAAACAGTTACCGCACCAGTGCCATGCTCAAATAATAAAGCTAGAGGGGTATCCATTTTGGTCAGCAACCAAGTAATGTTTTCTCTTATCAAGAAACAGGCTGACCAGGAGGGTAGATACATCTTCATGGTAGCTAAAGTCAATGATGTTGTAATCACTACTGCCAATATAATTACCTAACGACCGCCAGAAAGAATTCTCAGGGAAAGTGCTTGTGAAACTAGACCGCATACAACAGGGTTTTTTAATACTATGTGGCGACTTCAACTGCACTCTAGATCCCAAGTTTGATACCTGGAACCCTAAAACTCCTCTGAGGGACAAGGTTCTGTCTAATAAATGGTAGCATTTAAGTGCTCTTTTTAACTCGCGTAATCTTTATGATTCCTGGAGGGAGTTACACCCATCTGATAGGGCATGCACATTCTTCTCCCCCATCCATTATTGTTACACTTTAATTGACAGGTGTTACGTCCTGGGACCCCAGTTACCCCAGATAGAAGATTGTACAATTGGGGGTTTTGGGTGGTCTTATCATGCACCGGTGATCATCTCAATAGAAGACTGTTTCAATTTTAAGGGAAAAACCGCATGGCAACTAGATGAGTCGCTCTTACAAAACAAGGATTTTGCTAAATCTTTGAATGAAAGCCTCACACAGTATTTCATAGACAACGACACCCCAGACATCTCCACTGACCCCCTATGACAGGCACACAAAGCGGTGGCGAGAGGCCTCTGTATTAGGCAAGCATCCCACCGAAAAAAACAATCCTAAAACCAGATGCTGGAATGGACCCAGTGATTGCAGGAATTAAATAGTACAAATCAAATCACGCCAACTAAACAAACTGAAGACGAAATTCTACAAATTCAAGCAAAAATTTCTGAAGCCAATCTAAAACGCACAAGCTTCAATATAAGAAAATTAAAAATGTCCCAATATACACAGGGGAACAGGGCAGGGAAAATTCTGGCAACAAAGCTTAAAGAACAGCAGACACAAACTAGGATTCCTTATCTTATTTCTAGCACAAAAAAAAGATTGATTGCCCCATCCACTATTAGCAAAGAGTTCGCCACATACTATAGTGAACTCTATAATCTATCCAAAGATGGAAATCTTAATCATGCATCCATTGCCGAATCCACCGAGTATCTAGCCTCCACAGAGACTCCCACACTTTCACAATCCCAAATGGAAGGCCTAGAGGCCCCCCTTACGGCGGTAGAACTTACCTCCGCAATTGATAGCATAACCCCTAACAAATCTCCAGGCCCCGATGGCCTCACCAATGCCTACTATAAATCACTCAAAACAACGCTTACCCCATACTTACTCAGACTTTTTAACGAGACAATTAGCCAGTCTAAATTGCCCCAAGAAATGCTAGCGGCCACTGTGTTGACCCTCCCCGAACCAAGGAAGCCCCCATGCACTGCAAGAATTTCAGGCCCATCTCATTACTAAATTCAGATGCCAAATTACTTGCCAAAATTCTTGCATATGAAAGCGATACTTTCAGTATTAATTCATCCGGACCAAGCAGGATTTGTAAAAGGCAGACAGGGAACTGACAATACAAGGAAAGTGATAGACATTGTACACTCGATGAAATATAGAATCTCAAAATTAAGGTGCGCTATGTCTTTAAGAACAAATTTTGTCCTGTGTGTGACAAGCCTGCAATACTTGGACATGTGGTAGTAAGGAAGGAGGATTATCTGTATTGATGCTGAGTTGTGCAATAAATTTGTGGAGTGGATCGCTTTCGTCCGCAAAGTTATTATCCCTAGAGGGAATATTTTGAAGAAGCTGATATAGTTAGAGCAGGCTTTCTCTGCTCTATCTTTGTGTACACTTTATTTTATTTTATTTAAATTAGTCTTTTATACGGATTTACACTATTGTTTTTTTTGTTTGTGTCTCTCCCCTCTATATGGTCATGATATTTGGAGAGGACGCTCATATGTATGTATAATCATTTTGTTATGTGGTATTCTCACTATACACAGAGTGCACTTTATATCACTTTGCACTTTTCTTATATTTTGCACTTGTGGCATTTTTTAAAATTTGTTCTTAAAGACACAGTGCACCTTAATTCTGAGATTCTATATTTTATGTTATGAGTGTTTTGGGAGCTTCTCTTAAGGTAATATTTCTTGGCATTCATATTTATATTCATTGTTTGTAGACATTTATTACTAGCGCCTGTATTCTACTTGCTTTTGTACGTATTGTACACTCGATGGCCAGAGCCAGGACAGGGGGGGCTCATGCTATCTCTTGACACAGAGAAGGCCTTTGACCACCTCAGCTGGAATTTCCTGGATGTGGTCATAAGGAAATGTAATTTACCACAGAGGTTTCTCTCTGCGGTAAAGGCCCTTTATAGCATGTCGACAGCGAAAATAACCTATGGAGGGTTCCAGTCAAACCCCTTTAATATTACTAATGGAACAAGGCAGGGTGCCCACTCTTGCCCCTTTTATATATATCGGCCTTAGAACCTCTCGCCTTTTCAATCAGAAACAGCGCAAATATTCACAGGGTCCAGACAGGAACTACCACACACAACATGAGCATTTTTGCGGATGATGTCCTCCTCACACTTACAAACCCTAAACTTTCCCTGCCGGGGGTGACTGCAATCCTGCCGGAGTATGGTAAGTTCTCCTATTACTAACTTAATGAGACCAAAACGCAAGCAGTGCCTATACTTTAATAAACAGAGACCATCCGAGCCCTAAAAGAACAGTTACCGTCTGACTGGAGGGAGGACTTCCTGGTGTACTTGGGGATTAGAATTACAAAAAAAATCTTACTGACCTTTTCAAGGCAAATTTTATTAAACTAGCAGGGGAGCTTCGCTCCACCATTAATGGGTGGAGGGGCAAATTTATGTCCTGGATGGGTCGTATCGCCGCTACTAAAATGATGCTACTCCCGAAATTGCAATTCCTGTTTAGATCTCTCCCCATCACAATTCCGCCCTTATATTTGTCAGCCCTACAGAAGGACATAAACAGATTCATCACAGGCAAACAAAGATCCCGTATCTCCAAAAGTACATCCATGAGAA